AATATAAACACTTGAGTTTCGCGTTGTTATAATTATAACTGTGAAATGGAAAGGATTTAAATCCATTTTAAAAAGCAATTTATTTAACCCATTTAAGTCTCAAGTGACTCCTACGCACTTTTCTAGATTAAAACTTTGTAACTTAATCGGAATCGAAACTTTTGGACCGTAATTGATATTTGGAAGTAAAAAGAGTTGCTCTCCGAAAATTTAATCGATAGAATATAATGTCCGGACATAAAATATAAAAAGATTGAAAGTGAAAGTAGAAAAAGTAAATGACCCTAATAATTTTACTGCCGAATGAACTAATATATAATTCGCTATCTTTTTGGATAGAATAAATCGATATAATTATTATTCGAATTATCTACAATATATCGATTAAACTTTGTAGCTTCTATATTTATATATATATATATTTATTTATATATAGATTTATAGTACGAGTTTTCGCTCATTGGAATACTTTTACGCGATTATACGATTATGAATTCTATTTCCTATTGCGCAATTTGTTTTAAAAAGTATTACGAATTAATTTGTAACTATTATAATAATCAGGGGAATATGTATAAGCAGAATGAGTTATACATTATATTATAAACATCTTTATTTTTTTCTTTAATTCTGGAATCAAGAATGACTCAAATGTCAGTATACAAAAGAAACATTTTAGCTATGATAAAAACATATCAATATCTTTCCTGACTAATAATACACGCATACACGCACGCGCGCATATTTTATACCGTTTTTATAAAAAATTTTCAGACTCTTATATGTATAACTAATAATTTTTAATTTTACATCATACTTTATGTACGATATAATTTATAATTCTACTACAAATCTTTGCTATTCAATGAGACTGTATTACATTTCCCATAAATTTTTCAAGCATGTTAATAGGTTGCAGAACAAAGAAATTCTCGAATCTTTCTATTCTACAGCCAATCAACAGGCTTGAAAAAAATTTGTCGTATGACAAATGTAATATTAGTTTAATCTTACAATTAGTATATACTTTCGTAAATTTTACCACATTAAACATAAAAAGTTCGATTTTTTAAAAGCATATCTTTAGTAGTGAAATGTTAAGAGAAAACTATCTTAACTTGTCACAACATAAAGACTCGTAAACGTATTTGATTTTCGTCAAAAAAATTATAAAATCATAATATAAGAAAATGATAATAATGGTATAGAAAAAGCTATATAATATCAATTATTAGAAATAAAACAAATATCTACAATAGAATATAATATTATCGAACAGAAATAATAATTAGAATCTATATACTTGCATATATATGTTCATATTGGTTTACATAGACAAAACATTTCGATCAAATACATTCGATAGAGATCTGCATATAATTCTAATCCGCGTACTTCGCATACCCGATTCGATCCTTTGGCCGCATATAAGGCTGAAATAATATATATATGTATATGGATTCGGATATAAAATTTATAAAAAAAAATTTAATTTAAGGCAAATTCGAGTCAAATAATGTTCCGGTTAGCCTAAATATTATAACAAAATATTTTAACAAAATCTTTGACGTTCAGCATTTTCATTATATCCAGATAATTTTATTTTAATAAAAGACTTTTCAAATATTATTTTTTTATATATATACTATACAAATAA